CATTCCTCCTTAATGACAGCTGCTTTTTTCATGGTTCTTTTTACTTCTGGCTCCATTCAGTGCTTCTGATCCAGCCAGTCTGAGAGCACTTGCCCTTTCTTTGATCCCTGTGTGTTCCTGGGAAGTGTCCTTACCTACCTTTGCTGTGTGGTATCTCGATTCATGTCCTTCATTTTGCTGCCTAAAGGCTTCTTCACCACTTACCACAGTCCTGGCTCCCAGCTGTAGCTGTAGTTTGATGCATCAGCTAGGGGTTTTCCTCTCTCCCCTTTTCCCTGCTTACCTTTGACCTTCCTTCCTTCTGGCAGTGTAAGTGAAGAAAGGGATCTCTTGTGTATCCCGTCTTCATCCCAGACTCCTGGTGTAGTAAGTTGAAGTTACACTTCGGGTTTGCAAACTGCAATATTTTAAATACCATAATTGTTGATTTTTTAAAAATAAAACTACTGTAGAGAGTATTTCTTCTGTTAGTACTTTGCATCTTTTGTGATCCAGTTTTCGATGTTACTTCTATTTCTTATATTCAGTTCATGTGCTAAGGGCAGAGTGTTGTATCTTTCCATTTCATCGCTTGTGCTATTCTAGTGTCAGATTTTAACAACGTAAATTAAATTAGAAAAATCAAATATTTTAATCCAGGTAGTTTTTTTGGTTTAGGTTTAGAAAATTGGTCTGTAATTTTAAAGTTCCAGTTTCTTGTGCTGTCATTTGTTTTATTTTTATTTCACAGAGAAAGAAATGTCAGTATTTGTCTGTTTTATGCCCTGAATCAGGAGAGGAGACAAAACCCCACCCATTGAACATGTTTTTAAATCTATTCTAGTTTAAAGCTGTAGTATGTTCCAGTTTAGACCTTCCGCATGTCCAAGCTGGGTTGCATAGGCTGCAGGAGAATGTGCAGCTAAAAAAATGAAAATAATAGTTTTCACTTTTTTTTTAGCGTCAGTTTGGGAGGAACTAGTCCAAGATTCAGATTTTCTATATATGCTTTTGAATCGTAAGGATGCCTTTAATCATTTCTACTTAAATATGGTTGTTTGTGTATGGCTTCAACCTAGCTCAGTTTTGACAGTATATGTGGTCGATGTGGCCCATGTTAAATACAACCACAGTGACATCACTCCCCTTTTTTTTGAGTCTTGGATCAAGACTCCATGTGGGAACAAGCCCAAACTTTTCCTGCTGTGCTGGAAGTGCAGCTACCTTGTGGCTCAGTCTCCAGTTCGATGGCCAGAGCTGGCTGTGACGTGGGTTGCTGGCTCCAGATCCTTCCCTGTTCACCCCAGAAATCTAAGGCACGGTGTTTCTGTGGGGATTTCAGTGCTGGCAGCTTCCCTGCGCTGTCAAAATACTGTTCCACCACACTCCACTCCTTACTCCATGGATTTGCTTGTGCCAGTGTTTTCCTGGAGCAGCTGCAAGGTCTCCCTCAGCACAGAGGGTTTTGCTCTAACGCTTTTAGCATTCGCTTGTACATGTGCAGCCCTATTGATTTACACTTGCTCGTGATGCTCTGTCCTGTTAGAAATATGATTTATATCCTCCACGTGTGGCTGAGTTATTTAGGGAAGCTGTAGTTAGACATTTTACAACACATTCCTGTGAGGCTTTACTTCTGTCAGGTTTTCAGTGCTATTTGGGGGTCTTTGTGCTATTTTCAGTGGCTTTTCATTTACTATGGGAGTCCTGTTTTGGAAATAACCAGATGTTTCAGGAGTTTGTGGGATTTTCAAAAAAAATTGTATTATCTTTTTTTGTATCATACGTCTTCCCTGCAATTGTGGTTTCATAGTCTTTCAAATAAATTATATATGGATTTATATAAGTTACATTTTTAGAAAAGGACACATTTTGTCTTCTGTCCATAGTACATTATTATCCTATATTAGTAATAATGAGTCAGTAACAATTTTGATGGAATCTGTGTGACTAATATTTAACTTAAAATAGCTCAATATTTTTTGTTTTGTTTTAAACATCTTGTTCTTATATGATGACTGTTTCTTTTTCTTTTTTTTTTTTTTTTTGCTTTGTCCAGAAAATGTAGGAGTGGAGGCAGCAGGCAGTGGTTGCTGTTATTTTAAGCAGCATGTAGTTCTTTCTATTCAGTTTGAGAAAAGCTCATTTTTGCCTAGGCAAGTAGAAACCTAGGTGAGTATTTTCAATTTTGTCAGGGGCAGTCACTGGGTTTTTAAATGGGCACCAGAATTTAGGGTGGTACTGTTTTATTTGTAATTGTTAAGACTTCGGGTCCAAAATCTCCGCTGCTTTAGATTCATGTAGTGTTGTCAAAGTCAGTGGATTTGCTGAGATTTGTATCAGCTGTACATGTTCCTCTGTGTCTTTTGATAGCACTGGAAATCATTAAAAGAACAAGTGAAAATCTTTGTCCCTTTTTCTCCCCCCACTCCACCACATCCACATCACTTTTCTTTCCTCAATTGGAAAGAAACCTCTGTTGGTTCTGAGTCCTATTAGGTGCACACTGAGTGATCTCAGAGGGTTCCTCATGCAGAGACTTTAATCATCCTGCCAGGGTGGTACTTCGTTGCTCTGTTTAATGAGTCCTTCAGGAGAGACTCAGCAAGGGAGCTGGTGGAAGAGTTGGGCACTTGCACAGATTAATCGCTCAAGCTCTGCTCAGTAAGGGTTGATTAAAAAAACCTTTTTTATCCATCAGCTTGCTGACCCCACTCTGTCTTTTCCTCCTCATCTCGTGGGACAATGTGTAACTTAGACTGAAATTCTGTGAGAAGGGCAAAGGAGTGGAAACTCACCAAGATTTACTACTTGTACTAAGCTTATGTGTTGGTGGGGGCTGGAAAAGACATGAATTAGGGCAAGTTTAGATAATTTTCAGGGCAGGCTTATGCTGTAGATACATGTACCCAGCTCTACTATGATAAATAATGCTCATTGTGATAATGCTTTGATATCTGTGTTTTATCAGTGTGACATCAATCTCTTTATCTATATCCTTGATACATGAGTCAGTAGGGTGGACAAGAGGATTAAAAATTAGTACCCATTTAAATGCAGCATTAAGACTCTTGAAAAGAGTTGTTTTACCCAGGCTCATTGTCCTGAAACTGGTCCTCTGAGAGGTTCTGTCAGTGTGGCTGAAAAGGAACCTAGTGTTGCTATTCAAGCTTCCTTGATAAAGCTGTATCCCCTATCTCTGCTTAATTCTTATCACACATTACTGATGTAATGGGCATGGTCATAGTGTTCGCAGCATTGGGATAGCTGGGGTTTCAGTGAAGGTCAGAAAACAAACAGAACTTTCCCTTCAAATCCCCCAAGGTGGCAGTTGTCATCCCGTGGCAGTGCTTTTCACCTTGCCCGTCTCTCTTTACAGTGAGCCCACTGACCCATGGAGTCATTGTGTAGGTACTGCTGGCAGTAATTTATCCTGTCACACATGCAGTGAGGAATTCATCATCAGAAATGCGGACTCTTACAGATTTGTGAAGTGTCAGTTTGACAGAATTACTCAGAATTACTGACAGCTGGCGTCCTTCCAACACACCAGTAGTTGCTTAGCTGTGAAAAATGGCAGAAGATGGACAAATATATTGGAACAAGAAAATGTCTACAACACAGAAGTGGTGCTAATGTGATATAATTCATAACTGGTTGCTGTTACAAAGAGTCACCTTCAAGCGTTCGAGTCTATTCTTCTTTCTTCTCTGGCAAGTGATTTACTTTGTGACAGGTAGCTCAGCAAATCAGATTGTTTCTTACCTTGTTTGGTCTTTGTCCCTCTTCTTTTGCCCATATTTTGAGAGCACGATGGAGCTGACCAGGCTAAATTCATTTTACAAATACTTCTGTCAGGTTATAGAAGAGCAGCTATTAAACATTAATTTCTAGTGAGGCTGAAGTGGGATTTTAAATATTTAAAGGAGTAATTTATGTAAAGGGAATTCCTACCACTTCCTAAAATGATGATTTCTCATAATTTGGGTTTGGATATCCATAGGCAATTAATCTAAAATTTCTATGGCTTTAGTTTTGCTCCCTTTGCATTAGCTCTTTGTATAAAAATGTGTTCTCAATACATGCCAGCAGGCCTGTATTTTAAGCTAATTATGATTGTCATCCTTATCATACTTGATTGCTTTTTCCCAAGGACAGAAATTGTTGGGCAAGTGGCATGGGGGTGGAAATTGGAGCCCAGAGCCATCAAAAGTAATGATGACAGAACTGGGACGCATTACCTGATCACTAAAATGACTCAGACCACATGCAGATGAATTGTTTCCCTCGATAATTCATGCAAACGTGGCCTGGAGGTTAAAGGAATTGATCTTGAGATCAGGAGGTCTCTGCTTTATTTCCAGCTCTGTCACCAGTTTGTTTTCTGACCTTCAGCAAGTCACGACTGTATCAATATGCTTACATTGATTTTCAACTCATATGCATGATTTGAAGCGAGGGCTTCAGTATACTGATGAATTTGGGCTGAAGTGGTACCCCCAAGGTTACACAAGAAGACTGTAGGGGAACCAAAATTAGAAGCCAGAAGTAAACTCCAGTGGGAGGTATCAGTCGTGGGGTACCTTGGCATCCTGGGCAATAATTTTGTCCCAAGACTTGAGTGTTGCCCATGGACTTTGAGAAATGCATATCTAGATTTAGGAAAAGGATACAAGGTATGTGATTATGATGTGAAAGAAGATTGTGATGGGATTAGGCACCTCTCAAGTTGGATTGGTTAACTCTTGCTAAATAAATAAGAGCTGTTTAGGGATGTTAAATGGAGACAAATAATGATCGTAGATTCATAGAATATCCTGAGTTGGTATGTAAAGGTTTGGTTTTTTTTCAGTAGGTAATCTGAAGTCTGAGGTTTTTTTGCTGAAGCTATTCTTGAATGCTCTGTTTCAGGCATAGTATGTTTTATCATTAACTGTGTTTGTTATTTTTCAGTAGCTGCTATTTTTCAGATTACTAACTCAAAAATTCTTTGGGCCAAGGGAAGAGTCATTGAAGTTGCTCATAGTGGAGAGAAGGAAGGTGAGAGGCAGCAAGTGCTGAGTGGTGTGAGTAGCTGTTGATATATAAATCTGAGAATCTGAGAAAGACAACAGATTTGCTGCTCTTGCTGATTCCTGGAGAGTCATAGTTTTTCTCTTTGCTTCATAGTGGAGTTGAGATTTTACACATTGAAAATTAATTCTGTCTACCAATGACTAAGTTTTCTTATATCTTCCAAATAGATATAATCCTTAATATAATCTTTTGTCCTAGTGGCATTGTTAGGTCTCTTCTGGGTCTTCCCCCATGTTCTTTTGGCCCAGCCCCACACTGTTGCAGTGAGGGAAGTGTTTTTCTCCCCATTGCTGAGAGCAGAGTGGTCAAACTTGGCTTGTGGTTGTGCTGTTCCTGCCTCAGACCTCTCCATCACTCTGCTTTCCTCTGGAAGGGGCCAGCAGTGTGGGAAGTGGCAGTGGGAGCCAGCTGGGCGTCTGTGTGACCCAGTCCCTGCTCCCACTCACCCAGGGCTGTGGCTGGGACCCCTGGCAAGGAGCCACACGGCTTCTCTGTGTGCCTCCCTTCAGCTGGGTGCTCCTCCTCACTGCGGAGCATGGGCAGCAGCTCGCGTCAAGAGAGGCAGGTGATCTGTAAAGTACTGTGCTTTTATTTTTATCCAGTGTAGCCAAGGCATTGGTTGTGTAACTCAGAAGAACAGCCTAATAATAAACCCGTGCTTGCATTCAAAATTCAGGCTGAGTGTCCCTGCTTTGCAGTCATCTCTTGCTGCTGCTGCTCTCTTTTGAAGCGGTTTGGATAGACATGGGTTGGTCATGCATTTGGCCCCAGCTGTCACTGTGGTACCAGCTCATATTTTAGGAAATGACCATAATTCAGGAAAGCTGTTGTGTTCAGCACTGGGTTGTGAAACTTGTATTTTTAATAACCTTCTGGGTGTGACTCCATGTAGATTCAGTACCATTGGTGCCTGTGCAGTGATAGCAGTCAAATTATAGAATTGGGTAAGAAAGTGTACAAATCTTTCCTGTAATGGCTGTCATTGCAAAGAGAAAGTAGAATATGGTTAGGTTTTTTAAAGAAACATTTTTTTTGGGAAGCTTTTAAAATTTCTTTTTATTTGTGCCAAGAAGGCACAGCTTTTTATTAGTCTCATTTTCACTTTATCACTTCACATTTTTTTCAGGAGAAAGGCCATGGGAAGAGGAAAAGAGTGCTTTAGGGAGGAAGAAGCTTTTTCTTTTGCTGCCCTTCTCAAGTCAAGCAGTAATGCTGGTTGCAGTGATGCCATATCTGCTAGAAATAGATTGCATCATTTGTGACCATCGGGGGTGGCCGGCACTTCATCCTGCTCATCTCTTCCCAGTGTGATTTGGACAGCAAGATGTCTTTAAGTGCTTGTTTGAGGTATTAGCCCAGAGGCAGTGATTTTACCAAGTGACAAGTGGTAGGGCTGGCTGTCACCCTTTGTGTGGTTTAGCTTGGCACCTGGCCTTGATGACTGCTTTTAATGGCTACTTTTTGCTGGGAAGCTGAAAATCTTCCTTTGGCTTTTATCATTTCCTTCTCACATATTGTAGTTGATGTGGCCAGTAAAAGACCTTTTGTATTTCAGACATTCCCTCCCCTCCTTTAATCCTGACCTAACTTTGTTGTGAGGAGGAGAAGTGGCATTGCTGGGAGGGAGCTTCTGGGAAGGAGATTACAGAGCCCGTGTGACTGTTGTGTGACCATGTTGTGTCTGGGTGATGGGGAAGAAAAATGCTGCTTGGGTTTGGAAGAAACGTTTTGGTCATTTGTTTCTCAATATTAAAGACTATATAAGTATCTTAATCTTGAGTTTAAAGGGAGAGAAGAAGCCTGTGTTATGTTTTGTCTGTGGTGAGCAAACAGATGCTATTTGAAAAACATGGGAGAAAGGAAATGAAGTCTTGTGGTTTCTTTCCTCAGTGTTGTCCTACGGATAAAAATCCACGATGGAGCTTGTTGACTTTTTGATTAGGCAAATAGCATTAGGAAACCCCTGGTACTGGAAACCCTTAGTCATGTGCCTGGCTTAACTCTGTCTTTTGTCTGTACAAAGACTGAACAAGTGAAGGAGAGAAACCCTTAATATTTGGTTGGGGCTTGCTGTACTTGTGTTTCACGTACCCTTTTCTCTCCCCCCACTGTGAATTTTATTAGGGGTTGACTTAAGGATAGGGATGCCTTGACCGCCAGCTTTTTTTTGGAGAGAGCAGGTTGGGATGAGCTTCAACCTGCCACCAGCCCTGAGCACCATCCAAAGGGTGTGCTGCAGATTCAGCTCCCACATGGCCATGAGGAAGCTTCTCTGAAGCTTCTTTGCATGGAAAATGGTGGGAATGTAACTGGAGCCTTTCCACCCTCTTCCACACAAAGAAGCATTGATGCAAAGAACTACCTCTGACAGGGAGTTTGTGAAGCAAAGCAGGTTTGGAAAGAGATGGTTTCTGTTGCATTGTCCAAAGGGAAACTGGTTTTTAGCTTTAACTGTGATGGGGTACACATATGGAAAGCTAATGATGCCATCAGATGTTTTGAAGAAAGCCACACATAGGAGCTTATGGAAGAGTTCACACCAAAGCCCCAAGCACATATTATTTCTAATACCTTGAACTTTAGCCTAAGACAGTTTATTTGAATTTCAGTACTTGCTAGCATTACTGTTTACAAGGGCATGGAGTGACAGGACAAGGGGTAATGGCTCTAAACTGAAAGAGAGTAGATCCAGATTAAATATAAGGAGGAAATACTTAACTGTGAAGGGTGGTGAGGAACTGGAACAGGTTGCCCAGAGAAGCTTTGGATGTCCCATCCATGCAGTGTTCAAGGCCAGGTTGAATAGAGCTTTGAGCAGCCTGGTTTAGTGGAAAGTGTCCTTGGACATGGCAGGGGGGTTGGAACTAGGTGATCTTTAATGTCCCTTCCAACCCAAACCATTCCATGATTCTGTAATTACTGGTATGGCAAGATGACATAGGTAGGGGGAGCCTCCTGCTTAGAGGGACGTTCCTCAGTGAGGCATGAGGTCCTTGGTGCTGGGGCTGGGCTGAAGTGCCCATGCTTTAGGGATGTTGTCCTCTCTGAGAAGGGAAGAAGCATAGTTGCAAGAGAAACAGTGAAATTGTCTTAACATGGTAATCAGAGTATACAGCAAACCACCCTGTGTTTTAATTTCCTCATAGGATAAGTTGGACACAAATGAACATCTACAGGGCATGGAATTAATCCCGTTCACGTGGGGAGGATCTAAATGCAATCACTTGTTACCTTCACCCTGCACTCTTTAGTTATATTGCATTTATCTTGGGGTCATCAGAAGTAGTTATTTTTGAGTTTCACTCATATCCTCATCTACAGCCTTTGTATTTCTCATTATTTTGTGGGCAGTGTAAAACAGTAACAAAAAAGATATATGTAAGTTATTGAGCAAAATTAGTTGCTAGTGATTTGAATTTGATTATTTTAGAGTATGCATGTTCTTTGGAATTAGCACACATTTTGTGGTAGCCACAAACGCAATATTAGAAATGCAGTTTCTGCAAGGTTAATAATAGTGGGGTTATTAACTTGTGTGTCCTCATTTGCTTTTCTATTTGGGGTTCCCATTACAAAAAAGATTAACAGCTGAGGTAGAGGTAATAAGCAGTCTTAATTTCTAAGGCCATTTGTATTTACCTGAATGTTTTTTCCAACACCCATTTTAGCTGGAGCACAACCTTGGTGGGAAGAGTAAAATTCTCACACACCCTATCAGGAAGTAGCATGTAAAGTATTGGACTACTTTCCATGCTCACAGCCTTTAATTGTCTGAGGGGTGACTGCTCCTCGCTTAAACACTTGGGATAGAGAACTGAAAGTGAATATGTAAAAAGGAAAGGAAAAGCTGCCGGTTGCTGAGAAATGGGAAAGCACTCGGCAACATCACTGCCAAACATTTTGGCTGGTTATGCCTTAGTGTGCTTGTGACAATGCTCCTGGCCTTGAACTCTGTCATCTTGCTTGACTGTTTTAACTGCAGGAAAAACAAAGCCCCAGGTAAAAACTATAAATAAGACCAGTCATGCCTCCTTACCTTCCTGCGCTGTAGCTCTTGGCCTTGTAATTTGCCTGCCTCTCAAGCCTCTTGTTCATTATTTTGGGTTTCAGCTGATGCAGGGCCCCTGGGTAGATGGGGTCTCCTGGGAGTAGGGGATGGGAATGTGTGGGGTGGAGGGCACTGAGCTGGGAATGGGGCACCGAGGTAATGGAAAAAGTCTGCCAGTCTCAGGGATGGGAGTGAAACCTGAAAACCTCGGGGGACGCATGGGAAAGGGCTGTCTTCTGTTTCCTCTTGAGCAGCTGAAGCTGTCCCCATGCCTTCAGCACCTCTTCTCCTCACCACCCCTTGCTCTGTGTTGAGCAGGACACAGGTTCCTGGCATGGTGGAAGTTAGGAAGTAGATTGGGATTTTTCATGGCTCGTTGCTTTAGAAATAGATGGAAGAAAGGAGCTGGATTGTGGCGGAAGACTAGGAAAGAGAGGGGAACAGAAATGGTTAGCTGGGAAACAGCCTTAAAGATTGGTAGAGGTGTGTGGGGACAGCAGCAGCAGAGTGCCAAAGGGAATCATTTGGTGATGGGAGAAAAGAAAAGGTCAGAGAGGAATAAAGAGAGGATAAAGATTCCAGAAAAATAGAATAGGTTTTGACAGGAAAATATTATGTCAAGAGCTTGATCAAATAGAGTAGTTGAAGAGTCATGTGTTCTGGAAAGAAAAGGTTATTAAATAAGAGACTACTGTTAGATGAAAAATTCACATTGCCATTTTCTTTGAATATTACTTAAGCTTTAATTCTGGCAGCCTGGCAGTGGGTTAAACACTGGTTTTCCGTGTCAACATCAATAATGCAAGTATATATTCAGTCATGTATGGGTGTAATCTAGTCACTCATATCATAGCTGCACGAGTAGCTCCATGTAGGCACACAAATGCTGTCCTTCCCAGCTGGGGAAATAAAATTA